AAAGAGTGAGAGAGAAGGAGAGAAAGTAAGCTGCCAAGTCCAGGACTCGAACTGCAGTCGGCCATGTGGCAGTCCAGCACCCTTAATCACCATGCCACCTGTGGATCCCATATCCTGTCTACTTTCATATCTTCAGATCTTTCCATGTCTTCCACAGAGTGCAGATATCGATACAAACTGAGTGGGGATGTACAGTGTGTATGTTTCAAAGACTGGCTCCCTGTACTCAGAACTAAGTCTTCCATGTTCATCCACTTGGAATCAATAAAATAAGGTCTCATTGTGTCTTAGAACTGAGCACTACACCATAGTATATAGGTGCCAGCTTTTCAACCCAGTCATCAGGTTTTGGATACTTGGGTTGGTTCCATGTTTAACAATTGTGACTAATGCTACAATAAACGTAAATATGTGAGTGTCTTACTCTCTTTTGTGCCTCAAACCAGTCACTAGTGTAAACAAACCTACTGTGCTGCTAGTCATATAAAAGTACAGAACATACCATTATGGACAGTACATAATACTTGATAATGACTATAATTGACTGTGTTATCAGTTTATAAATTTACCATAAAATAATTTTTATCTTATTTTAGAATATACATCTTTTTTTAATTGTCGGAGGGTACATTTCTCACCTAAAGTGTATTCTTGTTACTTGTGTTTAAAAGGAAAAAGTTTTTTCAGTTGGCCTAGCCATGTTAGCACTCCGCCTAGTAGGGTGAGGACACATGGGAGAACAGGATCCTATCCCTGGCCCACTCTGAAAGGCCAGGAGCACTGGCACTCACCTTTGGTTCAAGTTATTCAGAAGGCTGATGCAGGACGACTGCAACACAAAGACCCTGTCTGAATACTCCCCATCCACTGACACACACGCCACTAGCACCACAGGAGCTGACTGTAAAACAGTAAGCCAGGCCTGCCTAGATGGTACAATCCACGGCACACTGAAGTGCTGGACACTACATAGTTGACCATGGGTTTAATCCCCAGGTCAGCCTAAAAACACGCTAGGCATACATGCAGGTAGCCAAAATCATAAAGAACTAAAGGGCTGGGGAAAAAGAATTTCAGAGTCATAAGATGATATTTTCGGTATTTTTTTTCCTCTCTCTCATGTATACACGCTATCATAAAGAAAAAAGACAGTCTGTCGTACTAGGCAGCAGCAACCTCATACGGTTCACGTTTGTGTCTCCAGATTACATCATTTTCTTTTGTGCTTGATTGAATCTCATGGTGATTTGTTCATCATGGCCCTTCTGGTGGGACAGGTGCAGAGGTGGAAGATGTGATAACAATGATCCTGACCCCATGTCCTTGTGGTCTCAGTTCTTAACAGAGAAGTTTAAGAGTGAAAAGTAAAAATGAAGAAGTCTTTAAATAGACAAAAACTTACAGAGTAAGAACATAAGGAAAGAAAATGTATTTTACAGCTGTATAATATGTTTGTGTTTTAGGCTAAGTGTTATTACAAATCTGCCAAAATACTTTTAAAAAATTAAAAAAGGGGTGGGACCAGCAGATGGCATAATGGTTATATTGCTAGACTCCCACATAGTCGACTATGACTCAAGACCCAGATCGGGCAGCTTGAAACACACCAGACCTGTGTATAAGTGTGCCCAAAAACCCAAGAGGAGAAGAGAATGCAGCATGGCCATCCCTCCTCAGGGATGATTTCTCATTTTCTGTCTCCCTATCTCTCTGACAAGTGCACACACCCTACAGCAAAAATCTCTCAAAAATAAATAAATAAAGGGGACCAGTAGATGGCATAATGTTACGTCACTGGATTCCCATGTAGTTAACTGACGTTCGAGCCCCAGACCTGACAGTTTAAAACTCACGTTGGACACATGTGCGTGCATGCCCAAAATCTCAAGAGAAGAATGGAGAAGAAGGGACTGTGGCATGGCCACCCCAATGAGGAGGTGATTTCTCATTTTCTGTCTCTCTGTCTCTCCAGTGAGCACACACACTCTAGCAAAAACTCTCTTAAAAAAAAATAAAATAAAATTTAAAAGTTGGGGGGCCAGCAGGTGGCATGGTGGTTGGGTCACTTATATATATATATATATATATATATATACACACACACACACATATATATCTGGTCGAATTTTTAAAATGACAGTAATAATAAATAGAATTAAATAAATAATTCTTTCAAAAGAAAAAAATTTAAAAATTGGGCCAGCCCGTGCCATGGTAGTTAAGGTGGCTGGATCCCACGTGGCTGATGACGTGGTCTGAGTCTCAAACCCTCCGAACTGAAAAACATGTTGGGTGCATGTGCATGTGGATCCCAAATCCCAAAAGGAAGAAGAAATGAAGAATAGATTGTAGTGTGACCATGCCCCATGGGGGTGGTGGGGGAGGTGCTTTCTCACTTACCACTCGCCTCAACCCCAACAAGTACACACACCCTCTGGCAAAATTTTAAAACAAGTTAAGAGTTTATAAAGTTACAATAAACTAAGGTTAAGTTATATTGAAGAAAAATGTCTTGATAAATATGGTGTAGCCTATGTGCACGGTATTTATAAAGTCTACAGCAGTGACAGTGATATCCTAGGCTTTCACAATCACTCCTCACTCACTCACTCACTCACCCACAGCAACTTTCAGTCCTACAGGCTTCATTCATGGTAAGTGTACGGTACAAGTGTACCATTTTCTAATCTTTTACACTGTACTCTTACTGTTCATTTTCTATGTTTAGAAGACAAAAGCTTATCACTGTGTGATAAGTGCCTTCAGCAGTCAGTACAGTAACACAGGAGGAACGGGGTATACCACACAGTCTGGGTATGTAGCAGGCTAAACCACCCAGGTTTATGTAACTTCACTCTATGATGTTCACACATCAACATAATCCCTAGCCATGCATTTCTCAAACTGAATCCTTGTTGTGAAGCAAATCAACGTACGTGTCTATTTAAATACTTCGTAATAAAAATATTTTTAAGAAAACTTAAACTAAAATATATTTAGATGTCAATTTGATACTTAGCAGAAACTTCAGCAATCACTGGAGATAGGACCCTATCTTCCCTAAGTACACTTCACAGCACTGACCTAAAATCAATGAAAGTGGGTCTTCTAGAATCATTCTGCTTATGACTCTAGATGATATTAAGTTTCATGAAAAAAAAATGGAGCTAGTCTGATTTAGAAGAATCCCTATACAAAACTAAAAATAATTTATTGGGCCAGCAGGTGGTGTGGAAGTTAAGGCAGCTGAAACCCATATGACCAACTCTGCAGTTCAAGTTCCAGACCTCATGACTTGAAAAACACCAGACACATGTGTGTGCGTGCCCAAAATCCCAAAAGGAGGGATCAGCAGTTAGCATAATGGCTATGTTGCTGGAATCCCATGTAGTCGACCATGGTTTGAGTCCTGGATCCAGTGGCTTAAAAGTCACGCTGGGCGCGTGTGCATGTGTGCCCAAGATCCCGAGGGGAGAATGGAGGAGAAGGGATTGAGGCATGGCCATCCCCCCAGGGGGTGATTTCTCACTTTCTGTCTGTCCAGCGAGCGCACGCGCCCTATAGCAAAAACTGCTCCAAAAAAGAGAACAGAAAAAAATCCCAAGAGGAGAATGGAAGGGAAGAAACTATGTCATGGCCATCCCTCTTGTCTCTCTCAAGTGAGTGCACGTGGCCTACAGCAAACTAAAAATTTAGAAATTAATTTTTTCAAAACTTTATAAAAATGTAGTGTTGAAAGCCAGAATATTTTTATTTTATTTATTTATGTTTTTTTAGGGGGTAGAGGTTTTTACTATAGGGCGAGTGCGCTCGCCAGACAGACAGAGAGAGACAAAGAGATAGAAAGCGAGAAATCACCCCCCAGAGGGGATGGCCACACTGCAATCCCTTCTCCTCCATTCTCCTCTCGGGATCTTGGGCACGCACGCACACGCACCCGGCGTGAGTTTAAGCCACCGGGTTCAGGACTCGAACCACGGTCGACTATGTGGGAGTCCAGCGACATAGCCATTACGCTAACTGCTGGTCCCAAAAGCCAGAATATCATCACCCCTCTCTTAGATCTTCATATAGTTCTAATACAAAGTTGTTTTAATAAGCTTCTCAGATCTTAATATAGTTCTAATACAAAGTTGTTTTAATAAGCTTCTCTTTCCTAACAGAGAGGCTTCCCTGTGTAAAATTCGACAAGAATGTAGAAAAAACACCAAAGATTATCACAAAAGGTTATCATGAAAATGGTCTGAAATTAGTGGCAATGGTTGTACAACTCAGTGACCATACTAAAAACAAGTGGGCATTTTAAATGGGTGAATTATATGGCATGTGAATTATGTTTCAATAAAGTTTTTTTTTAAAGAAAAAAGTCATTTAAAGTGGCCTTCCAGTATTTCAACAAGACTGTCATATTTCTCCATTTTACTACAATCACCAAAACTCCTTCAAATCAGAAGCTTTTTTATCTTTCAAAGGACATAGTGCCCCATAAATAGGGACAAAACAAAATTTACTACTCTGCAATTCAGGCGTTTTGGTTTCTCAGAATATCACCAAAAAAAATTGGTAACAGAGGTTTTAAGTGCATTTTGAGCTAAATATCTGCATCCTTCAGTGGTAAAACACACTGGTAAGAATTCAGGTTGGCAATTCCTTCTGAAAAACTGTTTTCTGCACAAAAAAAAAAAAAAAAAGAAAAAGAAAAAAACATGTTTCCCCTCTTCCTCCCCCAAAATAACTCCTTCGCTCTGTTTTAATACGTCATAAGCAATTGTTCTCGTCTTAAGGACCTAAAGACATTTTTTTTCCTTAGCTCTACATAAAAATATTCAAGAACCTCAGGCACTAAAGCAAAACTATCCCACTAAAAGGCATCCACACACCAAGAAATAGTAAGACCCCTGTGAGGGGCAGGGTCTAAGCAGGAGCTTCCTACTTTCAGGCCTTAGCGGGAAGGAACAAGGGTCTGCCCTGAGGCTCAAAACTTGGCACAAACCTGCTCTTCTTCTGTAAAGGGCACAAGAGCCAATGGCGGCAGGGGCTCCTCCTGCAGGATAGGCAAAAATTCTTTATCCAGAAGGTCTGAAGGTATCTGTAGACCAAACAAATGGCCATGACATTAAGGCTATTCCACCAATCACAAGACAATGAAACAAAAACAAAGAAGCAAAACTCTTCTGTTTATGTATTGCTGATTATCATAGTGAAACCTTGTTTGTGTGGCACGTACAGAGTTTGAAAGCCCCTGTGCCCTGCCCAGTCGCCCATCAGACGCTGCTCGTAGATTTAGCATTAGTGCTGGTATCTTAGAGCACACGTAGAGAAGTTAGAATCTCCACGTTTAACTGAAAAAAGAAAGTGACGAGGAGAGTTTTATAAGCAGCTGTACCTGCCTCAGCAGCCATCACTAAAATTTAAGGTCCACGATCTCCTAATGGCAAGACCCAGTTCCCAACCACAAGGCTGTGGAACCGGCCTCCTTTCATAACTGTGAATTCTTCTCCTACTTTCTCACCTTGTTGTCTTTAAGGAAAAGTGCTAACATTTCTTCTCTGCCATAACGATAATCCGCTAATTTATACTTCGGCAACGCTGGAGAAAGAGGCGGGGATGTAATACTGCCACCACTGGACAGAGCTCGGAGCCTGGAACAGGAAAGCAGAGAAGACACTGAGTGACAAATATTTTGGTGCCACAGAATCTTTACGTTATGTAATACATTGGAAAAAAATATATTTTGGTTCTTAGAAGAGCAAAAATGAAGGGCCAACAGATGGTATGGTGGTGAAGGGCACTGGACTCCCAATGGCTGACCATGGTTCGAGTCTCAGATCTGGTGGTTTGCTTTCTCACTCTCTCACGCAGTCTTTCTCTGTTCAAATTTTAATTAATTAATTAAATTATATTAAATAATTCTTAAAAACAGAGGAGTTAAAATGAATCTCATTATGCCAAAGTATAAAGGATTTTAACTTTAAAACAACCTGTTGTCACATCACATTAATAATTCACTGAGGGAACCAGCAGTTAGTGTAATGGTTATGTCGCTGGACTCCCACGTAGTCGACTGCGGTTCACATCCCAGACCCGGTGGCTTAAAACTCATGCCGGGCGCATGTGCATGCATGCCCAAGATCTCGAGAGGAGAATGGAGGAGAAGGGATTGCGGAGTGACCATCCCACTTGGGGAGTAATTTCTCGCTTTCTGTCTCTATGTCTCTCTCTGTCTGTCTGGTGAGCACACACGCCCTATAGCGAAAATCTCTCCAAAAAAAATAAATAATTCACTGAATAATAAATGAGATAACCATACGGAAAATCCTTAGCTTAAAAGGTCTCATGGTGAGTCCCTGAGAAGCTTGGGATATAGGGAAAAGATACTTTTTTTCAAAATTATGAAAGTTATTTTTGATTAAAAGAAAAATAAAGTACCATCTTACACCCATTAGAGTCCTACTGAGTCTGACAATATTAAGTATTGATAGGATGTAAAACAATGGAAACACCAAGATAATTTTTGTGGAATTATAAATTAAAACAACCACTTCGAAGAATAATTTGGTAATAGCTATTTGGCTCTTTGGTAATAGCTAAAATATTTTTAAAAGGCAAAATACAGAAGCTTATAATAAAGATAACCTTCTTAGTTTTTTTGGGTTTTTTTTCCTCATTTGCGATAGGGCATGTGCACTCACCAGAGAGAGAGAAAGAAAATGAGGGAGAAAGGAAAGTGAGAAAGTAAGCCACCAGATCCAGGACTTGAACAGCAACCAGTCATGTGAGAGTCCAGAACCTTAACCACCACGCCACCTACTCGCCCAAAGATAACTTTTATATAAAATAAAACCTGCAAATAAGCTTATGTTGTTTACAGACACATACAAAATACAACAAGATCATAAAAACAAATAATTAACAAATAGTGTTCAAAATAAGATTATATCTACAAAAGAAAGCAGAGTATAAAGGGAGTTTAACTGTACCTATAATTTTTTTTAACTTAATGATGAGTACATGGGCATTTATCACAGTTTATCTTTTTATATGCTGGCAACACACACAAACATATACAAAAAGACACGTATGCCCCAAATGGGACTTGGTTATGATACAATCCTTCCTTCTTCATTCTCCATCCCATCAAGATCCTAGGCATGTGTGTGGCTCCCTGGCGTGTTTTTCAAGGCACCAGGGCCAGGACTCAAATCCTGACCAGTCACATGGTTTCCAACTTCCTCTGTAAAGCACGTAACTGCTATGCTATGGAGTCAGCCCTTTCCAAATATTTATTTATTTATTTATTTATAT